TAGTCTGTGCTATTTTCATAAGTCAAAGTTTTCTTATTGCTGTGGTACACCATGCTAAAGACCCCAGCAAAATACTTTCAGAACTGATAGAATGAGTAATGTTCCATGTTCACAGTAGCACAGATTGCTCTTTCAAGCACCTATACTGAGCGCAAAAATTACATCCCAGATTCCAAAAGACTGTGATATTCATTCTTGTCCTGTTGGGCTGAGCAAAGTGATAATATAATCAAGGAAAACCTGTTCTTATAATGGTCTACCTGTATATTTTTCTTCATTGAATTCCCTGCAAGCTGTCATTGTATTGTTTTTTACCACTAGTTTTTATGCTATAACATGAGGACGTTTAACATTTGGAAAGCTCTTAGGAATTTAGTATCATTACTTTTACTTATTTATTTCCTTAAAATAAAACATTTTGTGATATATTCCCTATCATAAAAACTGTATCTTACAGGCCAGATGAAACCAAAGTTTGACTGTGGAAATGCATAATCTGTTTTCTAATGCCTGCTATAGTATTGCTCATCTATTAAAGTTAATAAAACACTAGGTGACATAATCCAGAAATTAGCTTATATCCTGGGCTCGATAAAATGAGGCGTGGCCAGCAGGCTGAGGGAGGTGATTCTGCCCCTCTGCTCTTCTGTCATGACACTCCACTTGGAGTGCTGTGTCCAGCTCTGAGGTCCCCAGAACAGGAAAGTCTTGGACTTATTGGAGCAAGTCCAGATGAGGCTAAGAAGATGATTAGAGGGATGGACCACCTCTCCTATGAAGACAGGCTGAGAGAATTCGGGTTGTCCAGTCTGGGGAACAGAAGGCTTCAAGGACACCTTATAGCAGCCTCTCAGTATATAAAGGGAGCTTGTAGGAAAGCCAGAGAGAGACATATTACCAGACCTTGTAGTGCTGGAATAAGGGGTGCCCATTTAAATTTAAAAATAAGAGATTTAGTTTGCACATTAGGAAGAATTTGTTCATGATGAGAGTAATGAGACGCTGGAACAGGTCGCATAGAATTTTTGTGGATGTTTCATCATTACAAGTGTTCAAGGTCAGGCTGAATGGGGTTTTGAGCAATCTGGTCTAGCTTAATCTACCCAATATTTTTCTTGTATATTTCAAAAGAATACTCTGACTCACTATATAATTCTGCTATAGATAACTGCTTAAGATAACTGTTTTAAGACTAAAAATACTTCAGGAAACTAAAAGTTTTCACTCTGGTTCATTAGTTAGCTTTTAGGTGCTCCAGCCATGTATGAATCAACTTCGCTGGCTTAATTTTCTGTGTTTGTATGTTCTCACTTACAGAACTGTTCTTAGTAGCTTGTAAACTGCAAGATTAATCCAAGATCAACGTTTTTGAAGACTGTACAATGAGCGTATATGGCAACAAATTAATACAAATTTTCAATGTAATAAATATTATTTTGGGTAGAATTTCACAAAAAAAAAGGAAAGTCAAGCATTGGTCACAACAGAGAAGCCTTTTGTTATTGGCTTCAGAGACATGTAGAGAGACTGCTCAACTACACTACCAGTCATGTTTTCCAGTTTGGATAGAATTAAATGTGTCATAGGTCTTTATGGTATAGTTTATACAAATAAACTACAAGATTTGCTGACACAATGGTGAGATACATCTAAAAGATCTTAGTGGCACAAAATACTAATGTACTAATATACAGATATAAAAGAAGTACTTGAAAATGAAGGTTTCAGTTGAAAGTGGATAAACTTTAAATGTCTGCTTTGCACAGTGCCTTTGCACAGTGTCTGCTTTAATCCCAAACAAACATAAGCACAAGTTACAAGTTTTCCCAAGTCATGTGAAGAAACAATGGTTCTTAGGTGTGTGAAACCATTTGATTCAATGGAATTTGCTATTAAGCAGAGAACTTATACATACTACATCTAAAAGTTATACAGACTACATGTAGAAGTTATACAAACTACATCTGACCAAGTGTAGGATTATCAAACCATCCCAGGTTATGTCAAACTGACTCTTGGAAATGGTTTAAAGTGTTGAAGGATGAGATAGTTTATTAAGGAACCAGTTTTTCTTCCTTCTTTTCTTAGGTATCCATGTCCTGGGGATGGACCTATACTTTGGTTACTAGGCTATACCATGAGACTCAAATAACTTTTTGTTTACCTGGATATCTGACTTTATATCAAATAAAGACCCTTAGGAATTAAAAGGAGGTGAGACACTGCAAGATGCCGAAATATTTCATTTTCTTTGGGTTTTTTGTTCATAAGAGACTGAGATGAAACAGTTAGTAGTAGCAGAATAGAACTTTCATGAGTTTTTTTAGAAAAACAAAGTTACATCTAACAAAAGGTGGAAAATACTGATTTATTTTAAATTAATTTTATAATTGAGTATGATTTTGATTAAACAAACTAACTTATATAACAGTTACTGTCATTGATACCTGTTAAATGAATACAAAACAAATTTAGGCCAGCATGCCAGACTCTGCAAGACCCTGTTACGCATTACTGATATCGAGGTTTTTAAGTTCTGCCCCAAGGCTTTCAGAAATATTGTTCTTTTAGCCTCTTTGTTTTCTGGTTTATAGCCATTTTGGGTATATGATGTGTATACCATTATATTTTCCACTTGAACAAACAGTGTCCCTAATATAAAACTGCTTTTTTATTAAATCTGAAATTCATGGGTTTCGATCAATTACCCAGTGAAAATATCCTGTCAACAACAAATAAATTTGGAATTTGCCATACTAAGACCTGCTAAAATTAACCATACACTTTACAGATACGTATTTATTATATATGACAATGTTAAAAATAAAAATCCTTTATACATCAGTCAATGAGATCTCCTTTTCTCTGATCTGATTTTCCCTAGTCTCTTTCACAGGATTGAACGCTTCCTCCAAGTCTTTTTCTCTTAGATAGGCCTGTCTGCTGCCCCTATGGATTTGAAAAATAGAAAGATTGAAGTAAGAGCTCAGGATATAATTGCCAAGAGTAGAGCATGATTTGCAAATAATGGATTGTAACCCTTTACTTTCTCCCTGAACATAACAATTTCATAACACAAAAGCTGATAAAAAAAGCTTCAAACTAAAATAATCTCACTTCCTCAGTCTAAATTATTTAGATTATGTATCTCACCATGACATTTAGGTATCTGAAATCTTAGTTCCTAATTTTTTGGTGATATTTATATCCATATACAAACTGTGGTAAGGAAGATTCAAGTTAACTAGCAAAGTAAAGCTTTTAGATACTAAAGTAAAAGAAATATGAAAGTTATTCTAGCTAGACATCCAGAGGGAGGAAGAGAAAGACAAAAAAAAATAATAGTAAGCCAATAGAATGTAATATTACATAGAAATCTACCTGTTTCAGAGGTGTACAATAGTTGCCACGGAGATAAGAAAGTGCATGTATAACTTTTTATTGACAAGATATAAAATTTAAAAATACTGTATTTTATGTGTATATACATGGTATAACAAATATTTATATGATAATTAATTGCATTTATATGAAGATTTATAAATTTCATTTTATATAAATAAAACTTAACATCCTCCATAAGTGATTTCTTAATTATTTCTAAACAGTTCTGACATTCATTTTGTTCCAGTATTCTTTATTCATATCAGCAGTCTCTCTGACATCAGTTAAGTACATAGGTTAGAGTTAACTCTATCTAAAGGATTTATGATTTGGATTTACTCATACATCAGTTTCTTAACTGGAACTGAAACAAATATGACTCTCTTTAACCGACTTAGGAAGAAAACTTCTTTCTTCTTTGGACAAAATAGAGCAAAGAAAATCACGTAATTTTACAATTCTATAAAGCGCTTGAGCGCCTTCTAAACTAAACATATGTTGAAAGATAAGCTGCACAATTAAAGTACAAGAACATAAAGGAGATTGCTGTAGAAATCAGTGATGTTGAAGCAATGCATCAGAACAGGTGTTTTCAGTTCAGCTCTGGGCTTGTTTCTTTTCCTCATTCCCTGTTTTTTAGTGTAACATCTTGGTTGATTGAGTTTCCTTTCAGAATTAAACAGTAAAGGACAGAAGACTTTTACAGTTGCAAATGACTGGCACAATATTTTCAATATTAATAGCAACAAGCAATCACACTACTGAAAAGTACACATAAGTTGGATTCAAGTCATACTTCGTAAAATTGCTTAAAGCTCATATTTTACTCTGCTATTTCTGTTGCATACTGCTGCTCAATTTACAGTGGCCTTGACACTGTTAGAACACAGTGGGAGTTACTTTGAATTCCACTTTATCTGTGAAAAGATGAAGGCACACCCAAAGATTGACATGAAACAAGGAGAGCAGTCTCTTTTTTTGCCTACTATCCTGGTAACAAGGAAAATGTGAGAAGGAACACTTTATTTTAAACTGTATGAATGGCTCTCTTAAAGTGAGGCAAACTGCCTCCCGTGAGATGAAGTACTAAAACATTATTATATTATTGGGCTGAAGCTTCCCAGAAAATTCTCTGTGTTAAAACATTTGTCTCAGTCAGCTTAAGTTCTATTTAGACATGTTGCAAGTGACAGTGACACACCACAAATGAAATCAATAGGTACCTTTTTTGTGTTTGAGATTCAATTGCTTTAACACAGCCAGATAGACTTTATTGAGGTTTAGAATATCACTTGTAGTCTTCTGCTGCAACTTCAGAACAGAATCTGTCATTTCATCTCATGTTCCCTCTGGCAGTGTCTCAGAGACTCCAGGTGATGAGAAATATTTCCTGGTGATGATGGTTAGATGACTCCTGAGTCCTGGGTGAAAAGGTGGGATACTATCGGTCCATTGTCTGGGTTCCTTTCATCAACAGGACAGATTTTTTACGAAGCTCACTTCATGGAAAGGCAGGAATCTCCCTGACACTGTGGTCTGCACGCTATGTGTTCATGAACCCTGTGCTGATCATTTTTCTTTAGCATATGTATAGTCAAAATGGAAGAAAAACTTATTCAAAGCTTGCTAACACTTCCAACTCTGCATTTGTCTGCACTAAGGAGGAAGGGTGAGATAGGGCTTGGGAGAATCAGGCTGGCATTCTTTTTCCTAGCAAGAGGAAAGAAGAGACAAAAAGCAGTATTTCCCAGGAGCAGCTGCTATGTTTTCTGGATTTGCAAGGCTGTGGTGTAAACTAAGGACACCCCAAAATCACACCCATAGGATGATGCAATCCTGTGTAACTAACTGCTTTTCTTTTGAGTAGAGCCAACATAGGGCCAGAAAAATAAATAGGGTGTCGACACAATATCAGAAGTCTGTTATCAGTAGTAGTTTTATTCACGTATTTAATTTGAGATAAATTAATTTTAGCCTTTTATATTGAATGATTTCTTATAGTAAATGTATCGTGACTAAACTATATATTACTCGTTACTCAATTCAGTAAACTAAGTTCAATATAAAAGATGTTCTGCATGGAATAGTTAAAAGAGAACATACTGTTCTGATAGTAGAATTGCTTTTAAACAATGTACCATATCCCAATACAACTGACACTGAAAGAAGCAAGAGTGCCAAAATTCAGAGTTGAGCTGCACAATTCTGCTGCGGGTTTCCAGTTCCACACTTTCTCCAAGCTCTGCTATGTGAAATGTTAGAATATGAAAGGACTCAATTTTTTATCTCAGGTTGCTTGTCACATGGAGTAGATCCCCATGAGAACAAGAGTCATGTGCCAGAAGCAGGCAATCCTTTGTCTAACTACCACCTACCCCCCATTTATCTGATAGACTGATAGACTCATCTCATTTCCATTCACCCAAGGACTAAAGTGGCCAGTGGGAATCATATTAGAAGAGTGAAAATTAGTGCTCTATAACTAAGAAGAAAAATTATCATATTTTAAAAGCTATAAAATAATGTTAAAAAAAGAATTTTAAAAAGTTGTACTATGCAGTTCACTGTTCCATCATGTCCAGTGTATCTCATAACATCAAGTCTGAGTCATTACTCACTGATGGCAATGCCTCAAACCTATTGTTTTAGAAAGATGTAAATGTTTCTGGTGACACAAAAGACAAGCTTCTAGACAAGCTATGGCAAGTGTATTACTTTGCATAGAGAAAAATTTCTTCCCTGACCCCAGGAAGTGACAATTGTATATAACAAAGCATAAGACTGGATTCTCATAGCTTAGTTATTGCAAATGTTATCCATAGTCATAAAATCATATAGACATTTTTTAAATTTAGCTATCCAGTGAGTCAAGTGCTTGCTAATAAAAGTGATTAATTCCTTTTCCTGTCACATGAAACAAGGCAACTTCTTTTTTAATTTTAGTTTATAGTTCCTATACAAGTAAAAATATGGGTTAAATCAATGTAATTTATTGCCATAAAGCTTGACATGAAAGATCATCCTTTCATCCTTCGTAATCTTCAACCACTACACTATCAAATAAAGCTCTGCATTTCGAAGTCTTTGGTGGAAGAAGCATCGCACTGTTAGTTTGTTAGTATACAGACAGTCATACAACACATAAGCTTAGATAAAATGAATACAACACATGCATTTGAATAAAATAGAATGCAATTAAGAACACAAGTTACTATTGTATTCTGTATGGGGATCAAGCAGCATTTTGCCATCTAGCTACCCCTTAATGCACACCAAATGCCTTTGCTGTCCTACCCCTAAGCACTTTTGCTGTTTGAAAAGCACTTATAGTAGTCTAATAGAATTTGCTTTTCATTTGCATCTGTTTTGATCAGATAATGTGAATGATAAGTGTTGGCTTTTAGCGATTTATTTTATAAGAACATTATGGATCTTAGAATGAAATCAGCATATAATCAGGAAATCTGTAATATAAACATTTATTGATCTTGAATAAGTACATAAATGCCAAATATGTTGAGTTTTTAGAGAAGATTATGCAAGCATTTTGGTGGTCATCAGTGCAAATTTTTTTTAAGTTTAAGACCTACCATTTCCATTAAGCTTAAGGGTTTACAGATAACTTATGCCACCAGTCTGTAACTTTGTGATATTTTTACTTTTTTGTTTTTTAATAAAAAATTAATTTCATAGCTCACTGACGATTGTTTTGAAGGTCTGTCAGGTCCTCTCTTTGCTCAGTGCTAGAGAGTATCTATTTACACTAAGAAACTCAGAGAACCGAAATATTTACAAAATATATTTTTCCAAGAGTACACTGGGAGAATCATTTACAGTAGCTATTTTTCTCTGGATCACTTTAGTTTAAGTGGTGCAACCAGTTTTCCTCACCATAAATTGTCATTATAAGTTATTCTTATGTTTTCTCAGTTCTAGTATTTATTGCATGCCTTTTGCACTCTGTGAAGCAAACTGTAATGCAATTATTGCAACCTCAACTTGTTGCAGGACAGAAAGCAAAAGAAGTAGGCCAGTGTGACCTTGCCTAAAATTGCTAGTTTTTAAAGTCCCGTATTTCTGTTTTAAAAGGTAAAATAGGATTTAATTAATTTTACTTGGACATTCTAGAGCTTCCCTTTTGCAGAAAAAGAAGGGTTATGACTACAACATCTGCAGCAGTTTAATTATTATTGCCATGCTAACAAACGTATAATACCTAATCTTGCTACCATTGAAGACAGTAGCATAGAGATGGTATAAAAAAAAAGAATAGAAGTGTATTACGGGGAAGGAAAGGAGGGAGGGAGGGAGTTCTGTGTGCTTTTAAATGAACGGGTGAGTGAAAAATTAAAGAAAACAACATTTAAGTGTTTGCCTGTGCTATGTTCAGGGTGCAGAGGCAGAGTATGAAGATGGTGCAAAGCTCTACATAAGCTGTAGGGTATATTGTACCTGTATCTGTTAGGTAGCACATAGATGGCACACAACATTAATGGCAGTTGTTCTTTGCTGACCATCAGTTACTTTAATGTCTGGGAGTAAAATGAAAATTCCACAGAGGAATTTACAGACATGTTTATATGCATCCTTAACCCATACTGAAACTTAACAACTCTTTGGAAGCTCTGTCTAATAGGTGAAGTGCAGCACTGTCAGCCTAGTGTTTCCAGGTCAGATGCTGTTGAAAGCACTTGATATCTTTTCATTTGATAAAACAGTAAATCAGAGATGACTGAACATGTCTATCTAATGAGGACAGATCAAATATTCTGCTTATCTCTGAGATAATCCTTCTGACTGAAGAGTACAATAATTGCACTAAACAATATTTTTCTTTTTTATTAATGTAATCTGGAAAATAGTGACCACAAACTTATTCCATTACATTGATCTTCAGCGTTACTCCAGTAACAGCTATTTTTCTGATTTTATTTTTATGAGGTATGTGTGTGTGTGAATGTCTGTCTTTGACTTTCCAAGTGTCTTCCTTTAGCAAAAAAATAGTTATTCAAGGCACTGTTCAGATGAGATAATTCATAGTACTGACTTCTATATAGCTGCTCATTCAATACTTCTATTTAACCTGAGAGTGCACTTTTGAATTCTAGATTGACTCACCAAAATACATACACACAGTACATACATACATGTCCATTCCATATCTTAAACTTGTGTCACTACTACTCTTTTGGTAGCAATTTGTTGTCGAGAAAAACAGATCCAGGGAAACATGAAAGGGCTTCTTATATCTAGTGACAATGAAATTATAATAACACTAAATGGTCCATAATGTTCCTAAGCTTTAAGGAGCTTCCATCCTTTTGAAGGACTGTTTCCAGAAGAATGACCAAAGATGCAAGAACAGTATCAAGAAGTAGTTAAAGTGAAGGAAACCATAAATGTTTTAATGGAGTATATCACTAAAAGAGATGAAAAAATATATCCATGTCTCTACCCAATTTTTATATTTAATTAGACATGCAAATAAATTTAAAAATTAAAAAGGAAAAAAAAAGATAAACCATACATTAGGTTAAAAAAGGACCCTCTCAATTCAAGTGAGAAAGACAAAAATGGAATGTTTAATAATAAGAGTATTTTCAAATTAAAAGGAAATCTCTGCAGAGGGAATAATTAAAAATGGATTAAAAATTGGGTTAATGTATGCAGATTGACCAATAATTTAATGGGAAAATGGGTAGACAAAAATACCATCTCAGACACAAAACCTTTGCTAAATTAATACCTTGGTCAGAACTTCTGCCTTGCATTTCTCCTTGTCTTGGTCTTTCCCTTCACATTCTCTCCATTTCATTAATATCTCTCTCTGGCTTCTGAGGCTTTCACAGTGTTTCTATCAAGTGAGCCAACTTTCCATTGGCCTTCAAACAGAGACACCACAGTCCTGGAGGTGGAGCATGAAACTGGCAGAAGAGGGCTCTACTTTGTCCTTTCTTTATTTCTTGAGACATCTCAGGCTATGACATCCTTTTTTCTTTAGGTATGGTAAAGGACTGACATTCACTTATTATGAGAAAATATTTTAGCAGTGATAAATTTAGCAAGTAAAGATAGAAATAATATTATCCATTCTATTTAATTCATATTTTTCCTTTCTGTTTTAATTTCTTCTTTGCTCTCCTTACTCATAACTATTTCAAGTCTTCGTTTTTGCTTTTTTTTGTGAAAATTTATCCTCTAACAACATAAAACAGCTATGAAATATTCTCACAGCTATACAAAAATCAACAGTTGCCACTTAAGCTGAGCAAATTACCTGAAGTGCTGAAGTTTTTGCAAGTATTTTTGCAAGTATGAGGTGTATTTCAGATGTCATGAAGTACTGAATGTTGACAACTCTTGGCTATTTAATGCAGAACAGCACACAATTAGTGCTACAAATATATCATGCAGCAGGCAGAAGAATCTAGGTACGCCAATCTACTCACATTTGATCTATTAAACTATTGGCAGTCAGGCTGGCTGTCTGAGCAGAGATGGAATGGCTCTGGAGCCTGAATTATCCTTTTTATTTATGTACTGGTCTTCCTATCCATCTGATGTTAAAGCTGTTGAGCACAGTGGAAAGGAACTGATTTAATTGACATGATGCTCATCAGGACTTTTAGTTCTACATAGATTTAGTAAAATCATGCTTGACATCACATTCAAAACCCACAAATTGAAAGTCTAGCTGTGTTTGTATTTTATTCATGATTCCTTGATGGGAAATAAACACAATTCAGTTCATTTTGCTGACCTAGAAATCTAGTTGGACTATTCAATGGTAACTCCTCTTGTTTCAAAATAACCTGTAACACCACAGAATAGAAACAAACCTTTGTTGGTTGGGTTTTCCAAAAATAGGATAAATGTCATGAGGAGAATAAATTTTTCCGCCATCAGCATCTTAGTCTGTCTGATCTCTGAACTATAAATTGCAGTATCATTCACCTAGTGTCATTCTTTTCCTCAATAACTTAAATGTATTTGTAAAAAGAGCTCTTTTCTTAAAAAAAAAAAAAAAACCACAAAAAAAGAAGAAGTAATGGACATGTTTATAAAACCAAACTTCAATGTCTAAGAAACACTGGACAAGACAAAATAAGACAGATGACTTTTTAATATATACGTGATTTTTTTAAAGAAAAAAAGTCTTTACTCTTAGTTAGTTGATAAATAGATCATCAATTTCAGATAATGACTGAATAGACTTGTCTATATGCATTTGCATTTCATATTTAGAGAGATGACTATTACATGGTGGAGTAAACAATGACACCCAGCGGCTGCATTGACTCAAGGCCTGTCTGTGTTCTGGAATTTCTCAGCATGTTGCTATTTTTTTACTTAGCGTGGGTTTTTTTCGGGGTTATTCTTTTTTTTTTTTTTCCCACAGTGCTAATGACACAATAAATATGTTCTTTGGAGCCAAATGACCCAAGAAGTTTGACATACAAAGCTTCATCTCTCCAGTGAAAGAAACGTTCATCAATGACAAGAGTCATAAATATAGATCTATACAAATTGTGCTTATTGAAGAAACTGACTGTCAAATCTGTTGGAGCACAAGATATACTAGATTGGTATGCCAAGGACAATAGTGGATATTCTTGCTGTTTTCCATAGAGCTTTTGGTTTGCTGCGTGCTATTGTGGTAACCTCAGGGAAAAAAAAACAACAACCCAAACCCAACAAAAACCCACAATCCTTCTCCTGCAGTCACCCCCAACTGCCCCAAAAACCCCCAACCAAAACTGAACAAGACCAACATAGAGTCTATATCAAGGACAAAAAGATTTTAATGAGCTATAGTTTATCAGGAGATATGGTATATCTGACTCCAACTGAGACCAAAGCAAAAGCCAAGAGCAGCTGACTCTAATGAAATTGGCTAGAAGATGTAGATCTGGAATGCATTATCTGTTTCTAACTTTCATGCCATGAAACCGCATATTTATTACTTTTGACTTCTGAGGAACATCAGTCACTGAATGATCTCTTGGAACAAAGCTAGTATGTAATTTCTGTCATGAGCTGAACTAGCGTCTGCTCTTATTGCAGGCCTTGTCATTGATCTAGAAATAATGAAGTAATTTTTTTAACACATTTTATCTCATAAAATACCGATTTTCTGAACAATACAATTGTATATTTGGCTTTCCTCTTTTTCTCCTATTCCTTGCCTCTCTGCCTGAAACTACCATATTGGCAATCCAAGACAGCGAAGCAGTATGATGCAGAGGAAAATTACTCTATTTTCTACCTCAGTGTTCAGAAAAGCAATGCTCCTAACGATAAGTGTAAGCCAACATCATATTGAATAGGTCCTCTGATGAAGTTCAGTAAGAACTATTCATGATTCACGTGGAATCATTGGTGAAAGGTTCAGCCAGAAAGATAATGTGCTAAGGCATTTTACAGGGAACAACAAAACTTAATGCCTGAGGAGCACAGAGAGGATTGCAGTGTCTACTACACTTTGGAAGGTAAAGATGTCCTTCAACAGGTGGTAGATGGGAGACCCACAACAGAAAGTAGACCTAATAATTCCTAAGAGGGAATGAAGAACTGTTGACAGGCAGAGCCAGTTACAGACTCTGCTAGGAGTTAGGATCACCTGCAAAGAGAGGTACTCTCTTCTGTTGGTGTTCTGTGTAACCAACCTGCAAAGCACAATATATGTGTCATCCTAAATACAGTAAAAACAAGGAAAAAAAAGGCTGCATGAAAATGTGAGTAGGTATGGAGGAATCAGTTGTAGTTTGAGAGTGTTTAAAGTATAAATAATAAATTAATATTAGCCAATAAAACTTTTAAACACTTTATTATAATACTTTTCCTCTCAACTACTCTGTACTTACATCTCAAAATCTGTTTTCAGTCTGAGTCTATCTTATCAAATTAATCTAAGTAATTTCATTACCATTCTCTCCTTCATCAGTTTTTAACTATTTCATGCAATTTCTCTTGGCTGCCAAGTTTCCACCAACATGAAACATCTAGGATGCCCTCCATTATGTACCTTGCCCAGCTATCAGTCTGAAGACCTATGGTAGGACTAGCATGATTTATAAAGAATCCATTAGGTTCCAAATTAATAGAACCAACATGACTGTTAATTATTAAAAATGGTGAAAGAGAAGAAATACTAAGATTTCCAATTCATGCTGAGAAACTGTTTTAGTGAGATGGTTTCTGTGTCCTTATGAATATCTGACTTTCAGGGCAACCTGCTCTGCTGCCTCACTGTCTTCATGGGAAAATTTTCTCTTTCTGTTCTGTTCAAAACTCTCTTCAGTTTATTCCTGGACCACAAAAACTCCTCTTGGCTACCAAAGGAAGATCATGCTGCAACTCAAATCAGTGAAAATTTCGTGATTGGTTCCCATAAGAACATGGTATTTCCCTGTTGCTTGTTTTCATTAACGTGATTGCTGAGACGTCTCCACAGCCACAGTCTTCCTCAAAGTGCAAATTAATCAGATGAGTCTCTGAATTCACAACCATTCTCTTTGTTTCTTCTCCTTTCTTTACAGCCTACTTCTGCAGATTAGATGTAGAAATACTCAGGACAGTAAAGACTGGGGAATTTCTGTTCTTCAGATTCATTAAACTGTATCTCCTGTGGGATACACTGGACAAGCTTTTCATTTAAAAAGCAAGTGAAATCAAACTGTCAGTTCTGTTCAATAAGAATCAAATGAAGAACCAACAACAACAACAAAATGTAATTGTAACAGCAACAGCAGCTGTCTCTTCATGGGGTGCTCGTGAGACACTATACAGAGCTTTCCTGAGAGAAAAAAGAAAGACAAAAAAGACAACATCCCCCTAATCCTAACACTAAAAATGAGTAGTTTATGAAAGAGCCCTTATTTCCCTCCAGATTGCTTAAGGGATTTGTGAAACCTACTAAAACCTACTGCTGCTACAGCTGTCACCCACACTTACCTCTTCTCAGTTAGAGAGCACAGCTGAGACCTCTGTCTCTCTATATGGCCCTTACAGTCACCCCATACGTTGATTTAATTATACCACCAGGCTGACGTGTTGAGAAAATGCTCTGCAACTGTGCAGGATGACTTTCACCCTCAGAGCAGGAGAAAACATCTCTCACAAGGATGGCATTTTTTAACCGACTATGATTACTTTTGAAGAATAGCCCACCATTATAATAAAGTATTACAATTGCAATAAAAAATATTGATTTCACAAGGACCCACGTGTATATATGGTTGCACATTTAATATTCCTTTTAATGAACATTTTCATAGTTTTATTTTGTTCATCTGAAGGAGCAGAAAAGTAAAAATGTTATTACTGAGTTTTCCCTTCTCTTTTTTTCTTAGGATTCCCTTTTCTCATTGTCCAAAACTCCCCCAAAATCTCCTAGGCCACCAGTCTTTCCTGTGTACAAAGGTAGAAATGTGAGGTTGAAAAGAAGAAAAGCAACTTTTATTGAGATACTGTGAGGGAAAACCAAAAAGGCAAATTCTTCCAAATAATTTGCACAGGCTTCTGTGCAAAGGCTTGTGTACTGTACTCAGGGGGTTTAATCAAAGCACTAAGAAGACGTGAGAGCAGCATGAACAGAATTGTGTATCATTGCTCCCAGCTGGATCCTCCAGCCAACCCAAATTTAGAAAGTACATGTTTTGGCTTCATCAGTGTCATATGATAACAATTACTTTCTTGTTACTCAAAATTTAGAGGCTGTGAAGACACAGGACAAACAAGGGATAGCAACTTTCTTTGTTGCAAAAGAATGTCACATCTTTTGATACAGTGCCTTCTCAGAAATATAAATCTTGATGTTATCAAACTTCAGAAAATGCAGGAAAAATTAAGATGTGAATTCTGAAGCTATCTGAAGTATTACTTTTTACTGTTCTTTTTAATTTGTGTGTATACCTGTGGTGGTTACCATTTTCCTCTTCATTAAGATGTGATACAAGCACTTCGACAGCCTGGCCATAACAGCAATTTTAAGACTGTAGATCCTGCTTTATGATATCAGCAATTTTTAGATTGCAGATTCTGCTCTATGACATACTTCAAGAAGACTTATGAAGTGTCAACAGCTCTTCTCCTTTTCAATGAGAAAATTCTAAAATTTTTTTCTCCCTTAATAATTTAATCTGTTTCTTTTTTTCATGTTTTGCATTGCAAAAGACCTAAAAGATAATGTCATTTTGTAGCAGCTAGGCCTAAAATTCATACCATATTGAATTCAAGCATCTTTATTATGTTAATTCTTTAACTACTATACCAAAAGATGTGTTAAATAAATTTCTTAAATATATTAACTAATTTAATTTGCAAAAAGTTTTGGATACACAGAAAGAAGTTTCTCAAGATTTAAACAGCTGTAGAAAATAAACTCTTCTAAAACAGACCAGGATCTGATGTGTCAAAAAATGAAGCATGCAAATAAGGGATCATACTGGAAAATGTGAGCTATAACCATTCTTAATCATAAAAATGTAGATAATGATTCTTATCATGCTCCAAGGATGATGCAAAAATTAATCTGCTAACGAGGACAAGATAGTGATTTTGTCAGTTAAGCTTTATGAAGCATTGACATTATTTTGCCTGTAAATCTTCTCAGTAACATGCTTATTTATTATCTTGAGATAGAAGACCAAAGTTTGTGAGATAATAAATTTAGAAGAATCTCTCTAGTGCTTCATTGGACTTTTTCAGCAGAGTCCCTACCCTCTAGGTTAGGAAGAATTGCATTTGAAATGCTAAAATGAACTTCTCAAAAAGCTGTGTCAAGCAAACTTTAGCCCCAGTGAGATCAGAAGGTATGTTGGTCTCATCATCTGTAAATGTAGAAGTTCAAGAATGAGATTTTCTGGAAAACCCATTCTAACTAATTTCCAGGTTGAAATTTTTTGACACGTGAAAGCTGTGAGTGTAGAGCCACCTCAAGAGACAATGACAAACAGGACACAGGTCTCCTGTACTTCAACAGCATGAAGTAAAGACTGGGGTAGGGATATTTTCTCAAAGTCTAATGCAGCTGCATCAAATTCGGGATCAAACCTGGAGCTGTGAGTACTAAACTGGAGAAAGACATATCCACTTTTCTCACAGACAGGAGTCTACACAAAGTAATTCTGGTAACCTGCAGGTACCCAAGTGTCACTGGATAATTGTCAAAGGACATACACACTCCTCAAGGTACTCTGTAGTCCTTAGCCACTCTAATACTTCAAGAAGACTGACCTGTATAAACACCTTCTCTACAAGTGTTCAGTCATAGCCCCTGTAGCTCTGAGGGTCCCTCTTTATTAGGCAACTGTTGCCTCCCTACATATACTAATGCTGAAATCCTTGAAGCATAACTCTTAATTGCAGATCCTGATGTCACTCCCTGAAAGGGACTTTAGTCAGTTACTGATCCTCACCACTTACTTCAAGGTATTTTTAAACAACTCCCTGCACAACAATTTGGCTCCCATGGATTCCAGTTTTGGTCATTATTCTCTCCATTCACTGTAGCCTGTTTATCCATCTCAAGCTAGGCAGCAAGTCATTTAAAAGTTAATCAGTGCAGTGCTCAGCATTTCAATAGCTGTCTCCTTTTATGTGTCTAGACATTAGCTGAGGAACCCAACTCAAAGAAATGAGCTTTCGTTGTTGTCTGAAACCTCATACCTCATCCCTTCTGAATTTCAGAAATGGTTCATCAGGAGGCTTGTGTTCCAGACCTTAAGTTTATTCTGAATAGAATGCAAAACCAAAAGAGATCATTTTCCATGCAGTTCACACCAATGCCATTTCAATAGGACAGTTGAATTTTTAAATTTTCCAACACATAAACTGATTGTGTCCTATTTTTTTCTCATTTAAGATTAAGATTTTATAAGAACTGCTGTATGTCGGCCCTTACCATTAGATGATTTATTAAACTAGAAGTGTAAATATTTTCCTAATTCTAGTCAATATGTAGATGTAAGCATCATCTGTTGTTTTTAATCGAGTAAATGTTTCTATTACTAAAAGGGAATGTTAAAGAGTGCATAAGCTCTACAATTTTATACTCTCATACACATGACATTTATTTGAAAAAAAAGGCATATGAAACCCAAACAGTGATGTGTTTGCTGTGTTCAGGATAAGCAAATAAATCCAGTTGGCATCTTTGGGAGTTTGCATAAGATACTAAGAGAAATTAGATACCATTTCTTTTTACTTGAAGTAGAAAAATGGTATTCGTGATGTATCTCACCTTTGTATTTCCTAAGCATTTGTTAGTTATTGCTTGTTCCTTCATGTGTGTTTGTTTCTGTAGGTCATGCATAATTGGTGTGATTGCTGCATAACATGTTCATTTATAATTGTTTTCAGGAAAATTAAGCCCTGGATTTCATTTTCTAAATAAATGTTTTATTAACAAAGGTAATTATATAGGAAAGTATTAAGCTCTCCAAAGAAGTAAAAGTGTAATTTCTTTAAGTTCTTTTTCTCTCATTTTCTTGCTCATTCTTTGGTTTTTTGTTTGGCTTTTGGGGTTTTTTTTGTGTTTTGTTTTGTTTTTGGGTTTTTTTTAATGAACATGAATTACAGATGCAGCAGGCTGGAAAAATGCAGTCTGGTGTGCAAAAGCTCTCTACTGAAAAAAAACCCACAACAGTAAAAAGGTCTCCAACTCCTCAGGACACAAGAAAATAGTATGCACAAAACCAATGGAGGCATGAAACAAACAAAAAAGTATTATAAATGTTAGTTTTGTAGAAGCTCACTGAATTTCTTTCTTTTTTAATTAACTACTCTTACTAATGGAAAAAATAATCAAAAATATAATATTAAGTACTTCATTGTCAATTCCTTAGTTAAGGGAATATTAGTAAGTCAGTGTTAGTCCACTGTTACAGTTTCACTGGTTTAATAAAAAAGCATTTTTGCTATATTTAAATGGGCAAGTCAGACCACATCTGAGAAGCAATTCTGCTTCATAGCATCTCTGTTGATTTTAAATGATAGCCTGAGCTTCTTCCATTCTCAAACAGCCAGTTTTTCTTCCTTGTGTTCTGTCATATAAAAGAAATATAAGCAAGTAATACAGACAATACCAATTTATAATTACTATGATATTATTTTTATTAAATATTTATTTGATTAAAAAATTTAGTTTAGTTTCATTTTGCCATTATCTAGGTGTGATTTTCCTATGATAGTAAAGTGACATTTGTCTATATTTTCATTTTTCTAATCCTGAAGTGGGAAGTGTTTGAAAATTTTCCATGGGAATTTTTTCATTTGGGAAATATTGCTTTCATGGAATAAAAGTAGTTCATTTGGAATATATTAACTTGAATACTTTCTTCACTGGTGCACTGAATCACAGTAATTTGTTACAGTGTACTCCAAAGCAAAACGGATGACAATTCTTTCAACAATTTGCATGGGGTTTTCTTGCCTGTCAAAATGTGGTTTTTGAAATGTTTCACATTAGATACAAATTTTGATGAAAACAATTAAGGAAGGAAGAAAAAAGTTAAGTAAAATGCAGAGTCTTTCAGAATGGACATTCTGACAAAATTCTCTGGGGAAACTTCCAAAAGGTTGCTTTTATTCCTCTACAACATAAGAAAAAAAACCCTTTTCAATATTAAACTAAGATCTCTGGCCAGTTTTAGTGAAAATAGTTTCTTAAAAAGCAAAGAAACAAACCACTCTTCTTTACAAGTATTTCTGTACTGTCACAGTACAGATTGAATGAGAGTTTCAATCCTTTTAAATTTATTCCTATTCCCACATAGCTCTAAATCTGGGTAAAGCTTCAGGTGCAGACTTTATTTTTAAACTTATTTTACTACCTTGTCCTACTTTCTCTTAATTATTTCTAGTTCATTTTTCTTAACTGAGTGAGGGTGTCTCAATTTGCTGTCCTTAAGAAAGAAACATTCAAACAAAAAGCCAAGCCAAAGCAAATTAAAATACTGAAATGTAAAATTTATTTGCTAGTACCCGCGTGAGTCTTTCCTGCAGTATTTACCTTCATGTTTAGTGGATAAAGGTCAAGACTGGCAGCCAAGGACATTTAATTTTGATTTATCTAAAGGGACATGAAGAGCAAAAATTTCTGGCTACCTTTCCACTGTACCTCAAGCAAGACCTGGAAGGACCACCTGCAAAGATGACATGAGAATGAAAATTGCTTAGTCAATTTAGTAATTGACTTTTCTACATTAAACGCCAATTTCATTTAGAGGAACAATTACTGGCTTTTAAGGTGGTGGATTTTGTATATAAACCATGTCTACTAGGAAATGAGCTGAGCTCCAGGAGTCATTTTACCGAGGTATGATACAGGAATTACATATAGCCAAACCTACATCAACCCTAACTTAAAATGAGTAACAGAGTGACAAGAAACACAGAGAAGATCTTCACTTAGTTGAGTTGTTTTTTCTGCTGTCTTTGGAGCATCGGTACAGAGTGGGCAACAGAGCAGAAAGATTTGAGAACAGTATACCACTAACTCAAAAAGACTAGATGAAGGCAGCTCTACACTTGAAACTCAAGCCAGTCATGTAAAACAAATAATCTCCCACCTTCATGTACTTTTTTCTTAAGAAATAATTTAAAATTATTAACAACTTAAGACTGAATTGTCAGCTGTGGATCTTGGGAAAATGTAATGGGCAGTTCAGGAGATTTTCTAAAGGCATCTAGAAAGTTGCAATTTTGGTTACACTACTTCCAGAATAAAAATCAGGTACCACTGAAGCCAGCTGCAATTCTGGCATTTGCTTCTTTAGGGCTAGATCTCATCCATAGCAAAAAGATATTTCTTACTACAGTCTCCCTCATTTTGTTTCTCATTTAATTCCATGTTCTTGTATTGCTACAGAAAAATGTAAACTTCAGACCATGAAATCAGTTCCTATTAATGCCAAATAGCAGGTGCGAGATAAAGATATGTTGGCTTTTGCAGATACAATAGTTTGAACTTTAAACCAAACAG